GCTCTATTTTATGTACAAGAAATGGACATGGCTATGTGTTTCAAAGAGTGTAGCCAAAAAGAGAAATTGTCTGGTTCAGGCTTAACTTAACGATTTATAAAACATTTAATTATTTATATTCATACTTTCTGTCGGCTCACTGTGTCTTTATTCACCATGACATAAGAAGAACTTGCACCTCCGAGGATATTTACATACATTGTTTTAGTGTTATTCTAAGCCTCTTTTTAAAAAAATTAGCAGTGACAAAATGTTGAAAAGTTTACAACATTAATTTATATTAAGCTGATGTATTAAGTGATGCACTGTTATGTCATTTTGTTATGTCAATTCAAAAGCCTGTGTTTGGGACCAAACTGAATCAGTGCTGGTTTAAAGCTGTTAAGATTGCAGATTTATTATTGATTGAAAGTGAATGCTAATTAGCTCACAGCTCATTTCCATTTGTCAAAGTGAAAATGAATCTTAAACCAGGCTGCAGGGACAAATTATAAAATTGTTCCAGTGCATACGGTAAATAAAGAGCCTTCAGAACAGGACTTTGTTGCATGGCTACAACCATTTCTTATATAAAGTTAATTTTCATCCATGGATCCATCACTTTTGAGATGTGAAATCACCAATCCTGAGCTACAGTAATTATCAACACTATGTCAACTGTCCACCACACCATGCAGAGGAAAGACCGTCCTCCAGACATCAACTTAAAAACACAGCCTTCAAAAAACAACAAGGTGACATCAGCCAGCTCACTGCAAACCACGAGCTGGCATGTGTTGATGGGTTAGCATAGTAGTACAAAGTTGGATATAGTAGTTGTCGCCCACAAACGTCACACACACTTCCTCAAAATCAAGTATGAGGATTGTTTCCTGCTCCTTGGAGACGACCTACACACAAACTGATGGGCTGCAGATATGGCCGCCCCGCACATGGAAGACACCTTGGTCTGCAACAAACTCTCGCAGCATGAATAACTGGTTGGCAATCCACCGTGCAAAGTTTTCGTGTTAAGTGTGTATCGTGTTCATACCGTATTTGTACGATCAGCACATGCAAACTAGACACAACGACCACGCGAGTGTGTATTATCAGTTATACATCTTCCATACTTGAGGCTATTATTGAAGTCATCTGACAGCTTCGAGCGAGTTCACCAAGCTACACCATAATATTTAAGTTACAAAAATAGTATCACAATATAGACCATTTATTATGAGCACCAGAGAAGGCTAAACATAGCCTGAGTATTTGGCTACATTCATTGTCTGGGCAATGTTTTACGGTAGCAGTGTGTTAAGTGTGTGTTTGGACACAGTGTTGGCAACATTTTCTCACTCACCAGCTCTCCTACTGTACATCTACCACACAGTAATATTCAGACACATACAGAGTTTGCTTACACTGAGTAACAACTGTTAACTAAAATCTAGTATCTGTTAGAAAAATAGTTGATATTTTTTTAAACACTGAACATCCAAAATAATTCCCCACTCCCCAAAATAACCCCATCCCCATTTTGAACATCCAAAATAATTCCCCACTCCTCACTCCCCAAAATAACCCCATCCCCATTTGCTAATAAAATAGTTTTCTTTAAAACAAAACAAAAGAAAAAAGAGTTTTTCACTTGAGGTTATATAAGGTCAAACCTTTATGACCCTCCATCATACAACGCAGACCCTGTTTGACAAATCTTACTCACCAGAGGCATATTCAAAGTAACTGGACTTGACTTCACTTTCCCCTGTGAGAGTTCTGCACAGGGTTCAGGTTCATATCTTCACATTTAATTAGTTGGGTTTTTTATATTTCCTTTTAACGAAGAGAACTGAGGATCAAAATGCTAGTCCAGCTGAACCTGAATAACCCAAGCTCAGGTCTGCCAATTTATTGGGTTTAAAATGAGAAATAAATGAAAATGTCATCCATTATTTATTCAGACGGCCATCCCAAAGTTCTCAGGCTTTAGTTGCATCATAGAAACTCTCACTTATCTGCTAAAAGACCTGAAGAAAAAGTGAATCTTGGGATTGAGCAGGCCTCTGGTTAAGTCCTTAATCTGGAATCCATCTCCGCCTCAGATACACTTGACTGGCACCCACACAACACAGGGCCAAATGCAGCACAACTATACAGTAGCTTATCTATGAGAGTTGTTTTTATTGCTTCAGGGCGTCAGGTGGTGGAGTTTTACTGAGGTTTATTTCCAGCTTCTGTTTATCCTTTGCCTGTTGTTAATCTGAACACAAACTGACCTCAGGCAGACGACAGAAGTGCCTCTGCTTTAGTGCTGGATGAATCATTTTGATATTAGTATAGTTGTACACAGCAGGTCCCATCAGTGACAGGTCTGTGTAAAGACGAGGTTACAGTCAAGAACGGGACAGAATGACTTCTTTTTTAGCCAGGCTGTGTTGAAAACCAGCAGACTCTTGAAAAACAGAAGCAACAGTGTGTAGTTAGTACTGTTTCACAATAAAGTATTATGTCCACACAG